TATATATATATATATATATCTATTTATATGTATATGTATACGTATACGTGTGGGACGTCGAGTAAGTAGGAGATGTAGAGGGAGGGAATGAGCGCACAGAGCGAGATAGAGACAGAGGATAAAGAGAAACGAGTGCCCGGAGTGGAAAAAAGACCAGGCAAAATTACAAGATTAGATGCCTGCTACCTGTAACGAGACTCTACCGATAAAGCAGCGCACTGCGTTAAAGATCTCGAGGCCATCATTCACGCGTGCTTTTTTAATTCGATCCGCGCTTCCAACCGCGACAACGATCCTCGACGAAGGCTGCCGACTCGCAAAACGCGAATATGCTTTCGAAATATAGATATTAAGATTCCACTGTGAGAGATAAATTTCCGTGAATTATTCGCCTTGTAGTAGCAACAAACGGTAGAGGGATGGAAGAGGAAAACAGGGTCATCGTCCATCCACTGTCCGCGTTAAACCCATTTCGGTGTCGTAATTGTGAAAACTTTGTTCCTCCTGTAGCATTACAAAACTCGCATTTTACATAACACGCTGTATACAGGAGAATATCATCGACATTTCTCTCACACGGTACCTATCGCGAGCCACGTTCGAGTGGATGAAAAAAAAACCCAAAGTCACTTTACAGAAAAGTCGCCCTCCGATAGATCTTTACAGAATCGAACAAATTTTCCTTTTAAGAATAATCGACATACTTATAGCTACGATTGAGACAGAAACTTAAATTAAAGATATTGCTTTTGCGATGTTTCGCTATAAGTCCAATAATTTTAAATCAAATAACATTCCAAGACAATAATATTCCGTATCTTTATTTTCTGAATTTTATTTTGATATCGAACTATAAAATTGAAATAATAATATTACAACAAAATGGACTTTTATTATCTCAAGAAATAAAAATTTTTGATATCAATGTTAATTTCTCTTCAATAAAATCTCTTCTATTGATGTCGATTCTCTAATAATTTCATTGAAGATAGAAATTTCGAATTGATCAAAAAATCCATAAACGAAGAAAGAAATTAGATAATTCCGGAATGTGATCGATAGTCGTACTTTTGCATAATTTAGAATTTTACCTCATCCCGACAATTATGCAAAAGAATTGATACGTGTCAAAGTTTCTCCTGATTTATGCCCCTATTCCGTCAAACGCGGCTCGTACGTAACATATATGGATACGATGTTAAACTCATGCGCGAGGGTGTCGGAGCTTTCGTTCTTCGTGGCTGTTGTTGGTAAGGCGCACAGTTGCTCTATTCTCTTGAAACCAGTTTTCCTCCATATGACCGTCGGAGAAGGGCAACGAGAGAGAGAGAGAGAGAGAGAGAGAGAGAGAGAGAGAGAATGAGAAGGAGAAAAAGAGATACTAAGAGAGGCCGAGAAAGAGATAGAAATAAGCGCGCGAGCGGAGAGAGAGAGAGAGAGAGAGAGAGAGAGAGAGAGAGAGACGCTCGCATGTGTGTGTGCCCGCATGCACGCATACACACATTCCCGATGCGATTGTAAGTGCGTGCGTCACATACGTAGGACGTATACAGATACGCTTCTCGCTACATGCACGTCGGCTAAACTAGAAAGTTGCTCCGACCGACGTCGCGTCGGACGAAGAAACGCTGCTAGAGCTACCTTTCGAATTTCAACCGCGAATATTTTCTACATATAAACGTCGCTCGCCGCGTTATACCGCGCCGGACATGCGCGTCCCGGCGAACTGCAAAATTCGATCGAAACGCGCGCGCGCCGCACTCGATTCTCTCTCTTGCCGGCCGTGCGGCACTAGCCCACGTATAAAACAACGCGCGGGCGATCGAACGCAGCGTTTTCGAAAGCCCCCCGTGTTATCCGTTCCGTCCGCGTTTAGCTCTCTCGCGAGCGCGCGCGCGGCAGCGAGAGCTCGCCACGGATCGGTAGGTGCGATCGATCGAGCGTATATTTGGTCGGAAGCCAAACGATGCGCCGCCACACATACACACATCGCGTATACATAATATACCATTGCTACACGTTACACGCCGTATATAATGTACGAAGGGTTCAGTTACGCTTTAATATTTTATACCGCGCTGCCTCGTCTAAAAGCGTTACGATTGTAATTGAAGTCGAAGCTTGACTTTTACGCGTAGCGAAATTGTTAAATTGTTTCTACTGGGGGAGTAGCATTTATAAATGCTCTCTCTGCCTTTATTTCGAAATCTTCTCTTCCCCCCTTCCCCTCCTCCCCCCCCTCCCACCGTACAAATAAACTTTCTGCCGTGACTCGCGGAAGCATCGGCGAATATCAGTATTAACGGTATCTTCTCGTTTCTTTCTTTTTTCTTTTTTTTTCCTTTTTCGTACCCTCCCATTTCCGTAAACTAGAATCTTACACCGTAAGGATACGCGTCGCGCACCACGATGCATTCCTGACGGATTAAGAGGAAGCGCGCGAATATCTACCACCCTAGTTGCATCGTCGTAACCTGGTCGCACGGCAACCCTCGGTACTCGCCGAGTAGAAAGTCTGCCGGTAGAAATATTTCGTTCTACGCCGAGGCAACGGCGGCTTCCCGCCGAGGCGAGGCGGGGCGGGGCGGGGCGAGGCGAGGCGAGGCGAGGCAAGAACGAGCTGAAGCGAGCCGAGGCGAGGCGAGGTGAGGTGAGGCGAGACGAAGCGAGGTGAGGCGAGGCGAGGCCTCGGAGCGTGGGTATCAGCACGGAACCGAGTCTACAACGCATTAGCGCGGCGTTGTCACGTTTCGAGCTTCTCTCTCTCTCTCTCTCTCTTTCTCATTCTCTCTTTTTCTTCTTTGCCGCCTCTCTTCGTCTCTCCTTGGCCGCCCGTTCCTTTCCCTCCCGCGCCGTTCTCTTCCCCGATGCCTCGCGCCTAGCAGACCGACTCGTTCTTTCTCTCGACGCCTCTCGCCGCCGCGTTGCATTGCATTGCGCCGCGCCGCGCCGCGCCGCGCGACGTTACTGACTCGACTGGCGGGAAAACTGGCTCTTCAAACGGATTTTCCCGCGACAGGCATACGGCTCAAGCGTTTCTCGGCCTAACTCTATCTTGCCGCTTTTGTGTGCCGCTCGCGGTCTGACTATCGGTATTACAGGCATTTAACGAGCATTATCGACCGTCATCAACTTCGTTGATGCCGCACCGCATCGAATTACTTTGATTTTTTTATGATGATTTACTCGGATTCTCGGAGGACAATTTCTCGAAAAATGTTCCACGCGCTGACAAACAATAGCAATAGCTATGACCGCATTCGCGGAGAAAGCTTTAGACTCATTCGTTGCACGGCGTGTATATTCTCGTTAAAGAATGAATTTATAAATCGTTATACATATGTATATATTATAATTTTA